ATATGATTATCTCAATAGATGCAGAAAAAGCCTTTGACAAAATTCAACATCCATTTATGATTAAAACTCTCCAGAAAGCAGGAATAGAAGGAACATACCTCAACATAATAAAAGCTATATATGACAAACCAACAGCAAGCATCACCCTCAATGGTGAAAAACTGAAAGCATTTCCCCTGAAATCAGGAACAAGACAAGGGTGCCCACTCTCACCACTACTATTCAACATAGTTTTGGAAGTTTTGGCCACAGCAATCAGAGCAGAAAAAGAAGTAAAAGGAATCCACATAGGAAAAGAAGAAGTGAAACTCTCGCTGTTTGCAGATGACATGATCCTCTACATAGAAAATCCTAAAGACTCTACCAGAAAATTACTAGAGCTAATCAACGAATACAGTAAAGTTGCAGGATATAAAATTAACACACAGAAATCTCTTGCATTCCTATACACTAACAATGAGAAAACAGAAAGAGAAATTAAGGAAACAATACCATTCACCATTGCAACAAAAAGAATAAAATACTTAGGAGTATATCTACCTAAAGAAACAAAAGACCTATACATAGAAAACTATAAAACACTGATGAAAGAAATCAAAGAGGACACAAACAGATGGAGAAATATACCGTGTTCATGGATTGGAAGAATCAATATTGTCAAAATGGCTATACTACCCAAAGCAATCTATAGATTCAATGCAATCCCTATCAAACTACCAACGGTATTTTTCACAGAACTAGAACGAATAATTTCACAATTTGTATGGAAATACAAAAAACCTCAAATAGCCAAAGTAATCCTGAGAAAGAAGAATGGAGCTGGAGGAATCAATCTGCCTGACTTCAGACTATACTACAAAGCCACAGTCATCAAGACAGTATGGTACTGGCACAAAGACAGAAATATAGATCAATGGAACAGAATAGAAAGCCCAGAGATAAATCCACGAACCTATGGTCACCTTATCTTTGACAAAGGAGGCAAGGATATACAATGGAAAAAAGACAACCTCTTTAACAAGTGGTGCTGGGAAAACTGGTCAACCACCTGTAAAAGAATGAAACTAGAACACTTTCTAACACCATACACAGAAATAAACTCAAGATGGATTAAAGATCTAAATGTAAGACCAGAAACTATAAAACTCCTAGAGGAGAACATAGGCAAAACACTCTCCAACATAAATCACAGCAGGATCCTCTATGACCCACATCCCAGAATTTTAGAAATAAAAGCAAAAATAAACAAATGGGACCTAATGAAACTTAAAAGCTTTTGCACAACAAAGGAAACTATAAGCAAGGTGAAAAGACAGCCCTCAGATTGGGAGAAAATAATAGCAAACGAAGCAACAGACAAAGGATTAATCTCAAAAATATACAAGCAACTCCTCCAGCTCAACTCCAGAAAAATAAATGACCCAATCAAAAAATGGGCCAAAGAACTGAACAGACATTTCTCCAAGGAAGACATACAGATGGCTAACAAACACATGAAAAGATGCTCAACATCACTCATTATCAGAGAAATGCAAATCAAAACCACAATGAGGTACCATTACACACCAGTCAGGATGGCTGCTATCCAAAAGTCTACAAGCAATAAATGCTGGAGAGGGTGTGGAGAAAAGGGAACCCTCTTACACTGTTGGTGGGAGTGCAAATTAGTACAGCCACTATGGAAAACAGTGTGGGGATTTCTTAAAAAGCTGGAAATAGAACTGCCATATGACCCAGCAATCCCACTTCTGGGCATACACACTGAGGAAACCAGATCTGAAAGAGACACGTGTACCCCAATGTTCATCGCAGCACTGTTTATAATAGCCAGGACATGGAAGCAACCTAGATGCCCATCAGCAGACGAATGGATGAGGAAGCTGTGGTACATATACACCATGGAATATTACTCAGCCATTAAAAAGAATTCATTTGAATCAGTTCTAATGAGATGGATGAAACTGGAGCCCATTATACAGAGCGAAGTAAGCCAGAAAGATAAAGACCATTACAGTATACTAACACATATATATGGAATTTAGAAAGATGGTAACGATAACCCTATATGCAAAACAGAAAAAGAGACTCTTATGTATAGAACAGACTTGTGGACTCTGGGAGAAGGCGAGGGTGGGATGTTTCAAGAGAACAGCATTGAAACACGTATATTATCAAGGGTGAAACAGTTCACCAGCCCAGGTTGGGTGCATGAGACAAGTGCTCGGGCCTGGTGCACTGGGAAGACCCAGAGGGATTGGGTGGAGAGGGAGGTGGGAGGGGGGACCGGGATGGGGAATACATGTAAAAAAACAAAAAACAAAAAAAAAACAAAGTAATGTCTCTGCTTTCAAATATGCTGTCTAGATTGGTCATAACTTTTATTCCAAGGAGCAAGCATCTTTTTAATTTCATAGCTAATGGCAACATCTGCAGTGATTTTGGAGCCCCCAAAAAATAAAATCAGGCACTGTTTCCACTGTTTTCCCATCTATTTGCCATGAAGTGATGGGACTGGATGCCATGATCTTACTTTTCTGAATGTTGAGTTTTAAGCAAACTTTTTCACTCTCCACTTTCACTTTCATCAAGAGGCTCTTTAGTTCTTTTCTGCTTTCTGCCATAAGGGTGTTGTCATCTGCATATCTGAGGTTATTGATATTTCTCCCAGAAATTTTGATTCCAGCTTGTGCTTCACCCAGCACAGCATTTCCCATGATGTACTCTGCTTATAACTTAAATAAGCAGGGTGACAACATACAGCTTCGATGTACTCCTTTCCTGAATTGGAATCAGTCTGTTTTTCCATGTCCAGTTCTAACTGTTGCTTCCTGACCTGCATACAGCTTTCTTAGGAGGCAGGTCAGGTGGTCTGGTATTCTCATCTGTTTAAGAATTTTCTACAATTTGTTGTGATCCACACAGTCAACGGCTTTGGCATAGTCAATAGAGCAAATGTAGATGTTTTTCTGGAACTCTCTGGCTTTTTCAATGGCCCAATGGATGTTGGCAATCTGATCTCTGGTTCCTCTGCCTTTTCTAAATCCAGCTTGGACATCTGGAAGTTGATGGTGCATGTGCTATTGAAGCCTAGCTTAGAGAATTTTGAGCATTACTTTACTAGCATGTGAGATAAGTGCAATTGTGCAACAGTTCAAGAATTCTTTGACATTGCCTTTCTTTGGGATTGGAATGAAAACTGACATTTTCCAGTACTGTGGCCACTGCTGAGTTTTCCAAGTTTGCTGGCATATTAAGTGCAGCACTTTCACAGCATCATCTTTTAGGATTTGAAATAGATCAACTGGAATTCCATCACCTCCACTAGCTTTGTTCATAGTGATGCTTCCTAAGGGCCAGTTGCTTTTGCATTCCAGGATGTCTGGCTCTAGGTGAGTGATCATGATTATCTGGGTCATGAAGACCTTTTTTGTACAGTACTTCTGTGTATTCTTGCCACCTCTTCTTAATATCTTCTGCTTCTGTTAGGTCCATATCATTTCTGTCATTTCTTGTGCCCATCTTTGCATGAAATGTTCCCGTGGTATCTAATTTTCCTGAAGAGATCTCTAGTCTTTCCCATTCTATTGTTTTCCTCTATTTCTTTGCACTGATCACTGTGGAAGGCTTTCTTATCTCTCCTTGTGATTCTTTGAAACTCTGCATTCTAATGGGTATATCTTTCCTTTTCTCCTTTGCCTTTCACATCTCTTTTTTTTCAGAGCTATGTGTAAGGCCTCCTAAGACAACCAGTTTGCCTTTTTCATTTCTTTTTCTTGGGGATAGTCTTGATCCCTGCCTCCTGTATAATGTCATGAACCTCCGTCCATAGTTCTTTAGGCACTCTATCAGATCTAATCCCTTGAATCTATTTCTCACTTCCACTATATAATTGCAAGGGATTTAAGTCATACCTGAATGGTCTAGTTGTTTTCCCTACTTTCTTCATTTTAAGTCTGAAGTTGGCAATAAGGAGTTTATGATCTGAGCCATAGTCAGCTCCCAGTCTTATTTTTACTGACTATATAGAGCTTCTCCATTTTTGGCTGCAAAAAATAAAATCAATCTGATTTTGGTATTGACCATCTGGTGATGTCTAAGTGTAAAGTTGTCATATGATCCTGCAATTCCACTCCTGGGCATATATCCAAAGAAAACTAATTTGAAATGATACATGAACCCTGTGTTCACTGCATTACTATTTACAGTAGTCAAGACATAGAAACAATCTCAATATCCATCAACAGATAAATGGATAAAGACGATGTGGTATACACACACACACACATAATGGAATACTGATCCGCCATAAAAAAGAATGAAATAATGCAGCATGAAATTTGCAGCAAGGTGAATGGGCCTAGAGATTATCAAACTAAGTGAAGTAAATCAGAAAGAGAAAGACAAACATCTATCACTTACATGTGGAATCTAAAATATGATGCAAATAAACTTATCTACAAAACAGAAACAGACCCACAGAGAGAACAGACCTGTGGTTGCCAAGGGGAAGAAGGGTGGGGGAGGGGTGGACTGGGAGTCTGGGGTGAGCAGATGCAAACTATTATACAGAGAGTGGATAACAAGATCCTACTGCATAGCACAGGGAATGGTATTCCATAGTCTGTAACAAACCATAATGGCATATAATATGAAAAAGAATATATAAGCACATATATATTCATATATACATATATAGAATATATACACATATATCATTCTATATATATGAAACTGAATCACTGCTGTACAGCAGAAATCAACACAACTATACTAAATCAACTATATGTCAATAAAATAAATTTTTTAAAAAGTCTTCATTCAATCTCTTTCTTCTAGTCAATTTTAAAAATAATCATTCCAATTAATTCACAGAGTAAATGCAACTCAGACTTAATCTGTTAAGACATTACTGAATTACTCCTGGAAGACCTAGTTGCTCTCACAGGCTCACTGAATGCATTTCACACTCCTGTATAATAGAGTAGAAGATTCCACTTTACCAGAATAAACTACTAAGTACCAGTTGAGATCAATCATCGTTTCATTTCGTTGTCTATTAACATTGACGTTATGTTCATCCGCCCTATGGAATAGGGAAGAGAAAAAAATGCAATAGATAGAATTAGGTAAAGACAAAAATTTAACCTCAATTTAGGAGACATGGTTTATGTTGGAAAACGATTCCCAGCTCATGGGGCCTGGTGTTCCTCCACCTTATAAAAATTCAACTTGAATCATGAGTTTCAGTTTTCAAAACTGTCTGCGAGGAAGCTACTGAGGGTCAGACATAGGGAAAGACCATGGGAGGGTCATATTCCCCCAAAAGGAACTTTTTCTTCAGGGAAACTATGTGAGGGTCAGAAGAGGAGGCTGAACGAGCTTTACCTCTCCCCCTGGCTCTGTGGGAAGAGGGGCTTCCCATAGACTTTCAGCACTTTGGGTTAGACCAAGAATCACTCACCAGTCTTGAAGCCACCAGTCCTGCAGGGCGTAGGCGACCTGGAGCAGGAAACACAGTCACTCAGACACTGAGCCCCACCCCGCTCACAGGATGGGGGAGGGGAAGGCTCCAGGACAGGGAGGCGGTCCTTCCGTCTCAGGTCTGCACCAAGCCCCTCACCCCAGATGGCCACAGGTCAGGGGAGGGCACGCTACATTTTAATATCTCCAAAAGACATTCTTCTTTTCCTAGAAGCTCTCTGTCATGTATACACAACACCAGTAAAGCTCACTTATTTAGCTCCCCACAAAAAAAAATCAAAGAAACTTAATAGGTACTGTGATGGTCAGTTTTCTATGTCAGCTTGGCCAGGCCAGTCTCCAATGATTCAAACACCAGTCTTGACATTGCCATGAAGGTATTTTGCAAATGTGGTTCACATCCATCATGAGAACTGAAGTAGAAGAGATCACCCCCAAGACAGTGATGGCCTCATCCAGCCAGTCAGAGGCCTGAAGAGCAAAACCTGAGGCTTCTCAGAGGAGGAAGAAATTCTGCCTCAAGAGAGCAGCATAGCTCCTGCCTGAGGTTCCAGCCTTCAGGCCTGCTTTCCTGATTTCACATTCACCCAACTAGATCCCACAACTGCATGAGCCAATTCTTTGAGATAAATCTCTTCATATACATATTAAGAATAGTGATAACATAAATAAAATATAAATAATATGTAAACACCAAGCTGAGGGCATACCAAAAATTGTCCCTATTTACCTGAGCTGCGATGTTCACTAGAATGAGGAAAATGATGATAAACCAGTGAGCACCGGCTGTGAAGTAATTCTTGTAGGTCTCACAACCAACTTGTCCCTTTGAATGGTCCTCTAGGGGTAGTTTAACCAGTATATCCTCAGTCTGTGAGGGGAAAAATGGCAGTGAGAGATAAAACATTAAGTAAACGATTCCTGAATATCAGAAGTTCAAAAGTAACTTTATTGCAAAAATGTGGGGACAAACACAAAACTCATATGCTGGCAGGAGTGAAAGATAGTCCATCATCTAAAGAGAAGGGTGTGGAAATATCTAGACAAACCACATATGCATTTATGCTTGGACCCAGCCATCCCACTCCTAGGAATCTATTAGAAATAAGAAAACATCATCTGTATGAGGTTTTTCATAGTTGGGTGGCTTTGCTTAAAGTCAATCACGACTCTCAACACAAGCACAATATACCCCATTCAAGTATAAATGCAGAAGCTTGTTCAAAATAATACATAGAATGATATGGAATTAACATTTAGCTCTTAATCTTTTATTTTGTCATTCAATGATGAAAACATAAAACATAACTGAGCCTCAAAATACTAGCCAAATACAGTAAACTGAGCTCACACAGCAAGATGGAGTAAGGTGAATCTGGGTAGCAGGGGGTAGCACGTGATTAAAATCTATGTGGCTCCTGAAATTTCAGAGAGTGATTCCTGAGTGGGGAGTGTGAGGGACTAATCTGAACACTTATCAGGATCATCCAGGCTCCTGGGTTTGGATGTCAAGGAGGACCTGTGTATGTATAACCGGAGCAGACCGAAGGCCCACCGAGGCTTCCAAGAGCAGACAGACCAGGGCATGTTGCAAGATGAGAAACTTACATCGTGGTCCTCTGGGGCCACATCTTTCACTGAGGGTGTGGAAGACTCTTGAGGCTGGTCTGGAGACTTGGAAGATGGTCCAGACTCCTCAGTCTTCTTCTTTGAAAGGAAACCAGAATCTATTCTGGATTTTAGGAACTCAGTGTAAGGCCCCTTTTGCCCCATTTCACCCTAAAATTAAAAAAAAAAAACAAAACTGAAAAGTATTTGCATTTGGTAATACTACTGCTGCTGCTGCTGCTAAGTCACTTTAGTCGTGTCTGACTCTGTGCGACCCCATAGACAGCAGCCCACCAGGCTCCCCGTCCCTGGGATTCTCCAGGCAAGAACACTGGAGTGGGTTGCCATTTCCTTTTCCAATGCATGAAAGTGAAAAGTGAAAGTGAAGTCGCTTAGTTGTGTCCTACTAGTAATGACCTCATGGACTGCAGCCTACCAGGCTCCCCCACCCATGGGATTTTCCAGGTGAGAGTATGGGAGTGGGTTGCCATTGCCTTCTCCTTGGTAATACTAATCTAATATAAATGCTAATCAAGAGAAGTAAATGGATCTTAAGTTATGATTTTTGTAAGAAAGTTATCATTAGTTCTGAAATTCTTGTGGACAAATCTAGTTCAGTTCAGCTTGACACAGAACTGAGCATTGTGTTCTCTGCCAAACCCTGTGTTAGGTACTGGGGGATGTGAAAGAAATGTGTGCTCATGTGTTAAAGATGGAGATCATTAATATAATAAATGGCAGGCCACTCCAGTATTCTTGCCTGGAAAATCCCATGGACAGAGGAGCTGGGTGGGCTACAGTCCATGGGGTTGCAAAGAGTCAGACATGACTGAGCAACTAAACAACATGTTTGAGAAATCCGAGCCCCATATTCCTAGGGGAGTGGAGAATCTACACAGGGAACTACTTCTAGGGAGGTAGAGGTCCTGCATTTTAATAATCTTTCCCGGAGTAGAACTTCACTTGATAAGTGAGGGATCTGGCCATGGGCCTGTGGAACAGACAAGGGTTTAGGACACTGTTGCTGAGACCCAGAGGCAAACAAGCCAAGACTGAAGCATCAACCAACCAGTAAGCCTGAAATATTCTCATTTATCTCCAGTCCACCACCAACCTAGCATAGGAGTTGTGGATTGAACAGTAGCCCCCAAAAGTATGTTCAAGACCTAAACATGACATCTGTGGATATGACCTTATTGAGATACAGGCTCTTTGCAGAGGTAATCAAGTTAAGATGAGGTCATACTGGAACAGGGTGACCCTACATCCAGTAATACTGATGTCCTTATGAGAAGAGACCCATACAGACACAGGGACAATGGCCACGTAACATCAGAGGCAGAAACCACAGTGCTGCAGCTAGAAGCCAAGGAACACCAAGGGAAGCAGATGAACACCAGAGACTGGAGGGAAGGATTCTCCCCTCTGGAGTCTTCAGAGAGAGCATGGCCCTGCCAGCACCTGGATTTGGGACCCGTAGCCTCCAGAACAGGGAAACAACAAACTTCTGTTGTTTTAAGTCACCCAGTTTGTGGTGTTTTGTTACAGCAGCTCTAAAAACTGACATCCTAGCTTAAGTTCATGCTGCTGTCTCCTCAGCTTTACTAAGCCTTGTAACTGCTTCTGCCGTAGCCCCTCCAGTGACCATCAGAGGACTTTTAACTCCCACATCAGACCATATCCCTCCTCTGCTCTGGACCATCCAAGGTTTCCATCCCACTTTCCGTCCCCTGCCCACTGCCTGGAGACCAGCTCCCTCCCATCCCCCTGCTCACTCTCCTCAGACACGCTGGTCCTCCTGTCGTTCCTCCAACCTGCCAGCTTCTTCCTTAGGACACTCTGCCTCAGACTCCCTCCCCCAGGTGACTGTGTGGCCCCCACCTTCATGTCACTCAGACCCCATGAGGCAGCAGCTCCTCAGAGAGGCTAGGATGTCACCTTCTCTGACACATCCTCCCCATAAGAACAGGTGCCCCATGAAGGCAGGGCCTTGTCCTCCTCCTGCACAGGCTCCCACAGGTATCAGGCACATAGAGACCTGGGCAGTGAGACCAGCAACTGGAGACACTAGCAGAGAGGACGTCTCTGACCCGGGTGCTTGGCTACCAAACCTCACTTCTGGTGTTAATGGAAGATGCTGTTGAGCAAACTGCATTTGACTATCATATGGTTACAAACAGGTCTTAGTATCTGTAATTTCCAAATTAGTATACTTTGACTTAAATCCTGGAAGGAGAAAACAAAACCTTGTACATAAAATAGCATTATTGTCCTTAACAAATTTCATTAGAACAGTGGTAACTCAGTAATTCCATGGTAGCACTTTAGGGCTTATGTGGCTTAGAGCATAACAGTGACATTTCTATGGTCTTTGAATTCATCCTCAGAGGCATGAGTACCACCAGCTCTGGGAAGAAGGGGGCAAAAAACTGAGGGAGAAGAGGGCATTTACCATGAACCCAAGAGAGTGACCTGTTGAGAGGATCTGGCCTTCACCACAGTGCTAGCAAGTGCTAGCAAGCTCCACAGATTTCTAGAAACTACTTACATTTTCCAATATCAGAGTGTTACTTGCAGCTTTTAGGTACTGCAACTGATGAGTCACTAAAATTGTGATCTTATCTTTCAAAGCTTGGCAAATACACCTGCAAATATAAAAGGTATAGCAAGCAAAAGCACATTAATGGGGTACTCCAAAGTAAAAAATTTATACTTTTAAAACATAGTGAGACAAAAACAACACAATAGTTAAAGATCTGTAGTTTAAATACCAAATAAATGAAAAATTTAATAGAAACATAAATCAATGAATCTGGCAAGGTCTTCAAATTCATCAGCAGCAAACTTGACTCCAGCTCCACTAAAAAAAATTCTAAAAAGCAGTCCAATGAAGAGGCACCAGGAGCTAAATTATTTTACCTAAAACTCAGCTTCAGTTCAATTCAGTTCAGTTCAGTCGCTCAGTCATGTCCGACTCCCTGCGACCCCATGAATCGCAGCACGCCAGGCCTCCCTGTCCATCACCAACTCCTGGAGTCTACTCAAACTCATGTCCATCGAGTCGGTGATGTCATCCAGCCATCTCATCCTGCGTTGTCCCCTTCTCCTCAAGCCCCTAATCCCTCCCAGCATCAGGGTCTTTTCCAATGAGTCAACTCTTTGCATGAGGTGGCCAAAGTATTGAGGTTTCAGCTTCAGCATCAGTCCTTCCAATGAACACCCAGGACTGATCTCCCTTAGGATGGACTTGTTGGATCTCCTTGCAGTCCAAGGGACTCTCAAGAGTCTTCTCCAACACCACAGTTCAAAGCATCAATTTTTTGGTGCTCAGCTTTCTTCACAGTCCAACTCATATCCATACATGACCACTGGAAAAACTATAGCCTTGACTAGATGGACCTTTGTTGGCAAAGTAATGTCTCTGCTTTTTAAAATGCTATCTAGGTTGGTCATAAGTTTCCTTCCAAGGAGTAAGTGTCTTTTAATTTCATGACTGCAATCACCATCTGCAGTGATTTTGGAGCCCCCCAAAATAAAGTCTGACACTGTTTCCACTGTTTTCCCATCTATTTCATCAAGAAAAGCAATTGAGCTACACTGAGATTCCAAAACTCGACTGAACTAAAGCCCTTTGTTATTTTTATGTGAGAATAGGAGAACAGGAATCTATGTCATATAAAAATGTGTACGTTTTTAGGCAATTTTCTATGTGATTATTTATGATTTACAATGTACATATTAACAACAAAAATGAATAGTTTCTTGATAACCTTTGCCAGAGTGCATATTCTAGACCCTTCCCCCCAAATAATATTAGGCAGAAAATGAACACTGGCATGGCCTCCATCAGTCTCTTCAACATTCCCAGTCCCACTCAGGAAGCAATTCTTCTTTCATGAGGACTGAACACCTTCCAAACATGGATATGAAAGAACAGAATCCAAATGGCCCAAATCGGAGTGGAAATCAACCAACAAATCAAAAGACATACCACTTCTCTTAGCCAAGACCCCTGTATGGTCAGACCACCCAAAATGGCTGTTCTCTTGCTCTCTGTACATCCCCTGCCTGACCAGTACCTGCTTCAATTACACCTCCTCACATGACTGACCTTCCTATATGTGTGTCCCAAGGCCCAGCTAATGACTATTCTAGCTTTAGATCAGAGTCCTCCACTATGCTTGTCAAAGGGGCAGGAGGGGCATGACCCTCTGCTGGTTTCCATGGTAACTAACAAGCCAACTGGATGTTAATTCCCCTGAAACTGGTAATTACCTCCTGCCTGTTAAGAGCAACAGCTGCTGCCAAGTTCTGCTGATGTGTGACCCAACAATCCCCTCACTATCCCTCACATTATTAAATGTATCCTTTCACAGTAATCCCTCAGACTGCTTCTACATTTTAAATGCAGACCCCCAAGGGATTCAACCCCAGTTTCATCCCACTGGGTCCGCAATCCCCCCCGCCCGGCCAGGAAGTTAGTGCCTGGGTCAGGACCCTGGTGACTATAGGCAGGGCTCCAGAAAGGTAACCTAGGAGCCCGAGCTCCTCGCAGAGCAAATCTCAGGAACAAGGGCCAGAGCTCAGCCTGTGAGTGAGTCAGGTGGAGAGTCTGGAGGCAGCAGACTGCAGCTCAGTCCCTCTCACGAGCTTGATGATGTCAGACAAGCTACTAAACAAACCTCAGTTTCTCCATCTCAAACAATGTCAATGACAACTCACCCCATGTTCTGAGAAATCAAACCACCAATTCGCCCAGTAAATGTCAGCCCCCTTCCCCACTCCTCCCTGACCACAGGCTGTCATGTGCTTTGGATTCAGGACAGAAAAGTCCTAAGGGGACACTCTGGATACTGGGTCTGTGATCAGAAGCAAGACCCCAGGATGTAGACACCCAAACCATTGCTTCATTAAGTCCAAAATGATTCATTTTTACCTTTTGAGATGTCTTAGTTCAATGTTTGTACCTAAGTTTCTTGACTGAGGAAGCCCTCTTCAGTCTTAGGACTAAAGCTTTTAATGTAAATGTTTCTCCTTAATTTGTAATTACTTGCCAATTGTCCCTGAAAGTGGTTGTAAATCAAATCTGATGGGCTGCTATGTTCAAGATAGAGCAACCCAAAAGTTGTAAAATGTTTTCTTCCTAATATTCCATCACATATAATGTAATATAAATAATTCCAAAGCCAATTAATGGCTTTGATTTTTTTCTAAATAATGCTTTTTATTAAGCATTATTTATTTAGCATTATTATTGAGGACTGTGGGAAGACAGAGGGCACGGGCACCCCCTGGAGGAGCAGGAGGCAAAGGCAGGACCCACCTTTCACCTTCCTCCTGTGTCCTGCTGCAATGCTCCCCAGCTCTGGGACAAAGGGACCAGTATGTACATACAGACGGACGTAAGAAAGGACCGCCCACAGAGCCAGCACAGCCGACACTGAGTGAGTAAGGGGACGAGCTAGAAAGGCTGATGAGGGCAGTCAGCCAAGAAACTTGTTTGTTTGTTGACCTTTAGCTGTTTCCTGAACGTGGGGTGGGGGAGTTGAGAAGGGCTGGAGCAGGAGGGTGAGCTGTGTAGACAGCAGTGTGGCAGTCTGATCAGGACAGACCCGAAGAGCTGATGACGCAGGAGGCAGGGGATCTGATGATGTGGGGCTGAAACACATCGGGATCCATAGCATAGTGAGACAGCATCAGTTCGCCTAAGACCTCTCACCTTTAGGTGAGAGAACCCACTTAGTGTTCAAGCGTAAAGTGGTAAAACCTTAACAACCTTGGATATAGCCTCACGACTGAAGGAAACTCCTAACATTAAGTACAAGTGCGATTCATCCACTTTTAATGAAAGCCTCCAGCTGCCACTTCTGCCTCTGTTCAGCACTCACTACCCTGTATGGAAACTCTCTAAAGCTTGACTCCGCTGACCTTTCCCTGTCATCTGTCTTAACAAGCTCCACGTAGAGACAGGTTCCTCAGAGGCAGGAATGAGAGCTGGGTGTCCTCGTCTCCCTTATTCTGCCCACTGTGGTCCTTCTCCTCTCCTAGCTCACTGTCCTCCTTGTAAACTGAGAGGTTTTGTGTAGGAACATCTGTAAGGGCATCTAACTCAGTGCACACAGCAGGGTGTTAATAAGTGCAGCTGGAAGGTGCTTTGGCTTTAATAAAGTGAACAGCAAGGGAACTAACTCTGGGGGGAGATGTGGAGGCTGTTTTAGCAAAAGCAAGTTCATGAGGCTTTCAAGGAGGCCAATCTAGACTCCATCAAAGGCCTCAGTCAGTATATGTTAAGACATACACAGAAAAGCATTGTAGTTGTTCTCCTTCAGGGGTTCTATGGCCAAGCAAGAGCCACTGACACCAAATTCCAGAATCACAAAGTGAGTCAGGATTTTAGAAAGATTCTAAATAACAGATTCACATTCAAGTTAACCCTATATTGTGGGACCAAGTATTCATTCCACAAGCATCCATGAAGAGACATTAAATGATTAAAGCCATACTCTGATATCAAGTATGGCTCTGATAAATTACTCTTGAATTCTAGGCTTTGCTAAGTATTTTCAAACCTACAGAATAATAAGCATATGCTAACAGGGCCTTTCCATGGAAGCTCTATGTCAGTACTGAAAACTGTGTACCTTCTAATATGCCTTAAATGATGGAGGAAAAGAACTGGCAGCCAAGTATCAGATTACAGAGTTCCATTCTCTGATTTAAAAATTGGATATCATCCTTCTTATTCCAGGGGTGTGGATCCATCCACAGCGTCTGGATCCATCAACTGCAAGTCACAGGGTAGAATCTGCCATCTATCCCTGACTCCCTAAAGCATGGACCCCACTGGCCTCCACACACTGGAAGCACCTGCTGTATGTTCCTGTCTTAACCTCATCATGATGCAAGATTTCTCTACAATGGATCTTCTTTTGAGGGAAAAAAGGGAGAGAAGGACAGCAGCACATAGCGAGCTGAGTCTCCTGAAGCACAAAGGCTTTCCTGAGCTCCCTTCCCTGATCCCTACAGGGCTCTTGGAAAGAAGAAATGATAGGAAACAGGAGCAAACTCACTGTTCGAACAAGTGCCTACTGACTTCTACGTCCACTGCGCTGAGCGGATCATCCAGGAGGTAGATGTCTGCGTCCTGATACATGGCTCTAGAAAACATAGAGAGACATCAGAAGACACTTCACACTCTGTGAGTCTCATCTCTGAATCATGACAGTGTCCAGCAACTTCATGTTCCTTCTACAAGCCCAGGGAAAGGACCAAGACCCTGCTTCACACAGGCCCACCTGGTGAGTGGGGTCTGTGTGCTCACGTCCACTAGGAGCCCCGGAGGAGGAGGGGAAGGATGGCAACTGAAACCCCATTTACCTGGCGAGGCTGACCCGGGCTTTCTGTCCTTCACTCAGCGGGGTTCCTCCATCTCCTATCACAGTTTGATCTCCTTCCTTCAAATTCTGCAAATTCTATAAGGAGATAGAAAAGGGAAAAAAGAAAAAGGTTTAAAATGTGTTCTCCTGCCATCCTAACCTTTCAGCAGTAGTTCTTCCCACAAGTGTTTGATCAACGATAATGGGATTATTTCATAGTGAATAGCTGTAACCTTGAACATTAAAAAAACAAACCTCTCAGGGTTTTTCATCTTTGCTTCATCCTGTAGTTTTTCACAGCATTTAGACATTCGACCATTTTAACAGATATTTATTGAGGACTGACTACACACCAGGCATTGTTCTGGGAGCAGTGGATTTAGCCATGAGGAAACAAAGTCCCTACAGTTTCTTTCCATGTTGAGTGCAAGGACTGAGGACAGGAAGGAAAAGGAAGCTGGCTCAGGGGGATGGAGAGTGAAGGAGGGAAGTGAGTCCACACTGGGGGTGGGGGGGCTGGCAGAGGCTCTGCTCAGAGCAGGTGTGAGCAGATCTGGGGTGGGGAGGGGCTCAGGCAGACCCCGAGAGGCTGCTCCTCACAGAGGGAGGGGCGGGTGCAGGAGCCCCGGGGAGCCAAGGGGTTCAGGACAAGAAAGGAGGCAGGAGAGCAGAGTTAGAATGAGGGAAGAGAGGGCAGAGCTGGAGCAGGAGAAGCCTGGGGTCACTCCAGTAAAGGAGGAAGGGGAGGACTTACACGATCTTGGGTTTTTAAAGAATCACTCCTGCACTTTGTGGAAAACAGGCAGTAAGTGGGGAAGGGGAAGAGTGAATATAAGTGAGGAGGCTACTGGAAAAATCTAGGTGAGAGATGACCATGGTCAGGACCAGAGTGAGAGCAGTGAGAATGGAGAGATGGGGTCATACTCCAGACACATTTGGAAGGTGTCCGTGTTCTGACCACGCCGACTAGGAGAGCAGTCCATGTTTATAATGGTTACATCATGTACAGAAGAATCGCCTTGCAGACCGGTCCTGCAGGGACCCACCAGACTCTGCCGCATGGACACCCGAGGGTGGGGGAGGCCCCAGAACATTGTTCACATGGTCCAAAGCATTGACCCCCGGGGAAGAAAACTGAATATCAGCCACTGTCCCAGCATCTGCTCTTCTGCAGAGATGCTCAGATGTGGGGAGAAAGAAGGGCTGAGCTTCACCAGAAAGGTGAAGTCATGAAAGAAATACCCCACCCTGGCCTGGGTCTCTGGAGTCTGCTCTGGGCATCAGGGGCTGGATGTGATTAAAGTAAAGAGGAAATGCCTGATATCTGTTTACTCCACACCCCACCTTACACCTTCATCTATCACCTGCTTTTTAAAAAATTCTTCCTTATAAATTTCCTCAACTGAGAGGCGGCACAGCATGGAGAGGACAAGCATGGAGTCTAGAGTCCTGCAGAAAGGGATCTGAATGAGCTGAGATGAGCTGTTTGATCCCCAAGCCTTAGTTTACCAACTATAAAATGAGGATGTTAATACTGAGGACACTGAGAAAGAATCAATAACTCATATACCCTCTTACATGTGCGCACACACAGGGGTGAAAGACAGAAAAATGATTTGCACATGGACTCTGAATAAATGGGAGCTACTGTTCTCACTGTTCTACCTTTGCTTCCCTCTTCTTTTCTTATACAGTCACCACATCATTTAATAAAAATCTAGATCATTCCTGCTAACTTGACATTATTTCTGCAAACACAATTTCACATTAATAAGAACCCAAGAGAAAGAAACAGAAGCCCATTAAAGGAGAAGTTCTGTTTTAACCACATTATTGCAAAATGCTACTCACGTGATACAATCTATGATGTTCAAGCTGTGGTTCAAGTTAAATTACTATTTTCTATTTCCTCAGGAAGAGGGTTTTGGAGTCTTAACTCCTCACCTCTGAAAGACTGTCCCAGGCTTTTTCTCACAGTATAGAAGAATACTTGGATGTCCAGACTGGACTCAACAGACTCGAGGGGAACCCTTTAACACTACTGTTCATGGATTTTTATAACCCAGGAGAGTAACATACTGTTTAATCAGTATTTACATTTTTCTTCCTTTTTGCCAAATTACGTTCTCCCCTCAAGTAAGTTCAGTTTTCATCATTCATTCACTAATTTCATCTAAATGCCAAGGTAGAGTTAAATGTTTCATTTTGTCATTTTCTGTGAAACTCAATGCCATTTCTGAAAACAGTCTCTCCCCTAAAGAAAAGATGCAGTATTAAGAAGAAATGTTAAAGCATTCTATTTTCTTTAAATAAAAATGCAAGTCAAAACCAAGTGGAGAGGGAAACCTAGAGACTGAAAAGGCCTGAGGAGGCATGAGCCAAGGGTCGGTGGGGAGACCTAATGTGCAGGCTGACTCCAGCAACGCTGAAGGAGATTCCCCTGTGAGATGACTGCTGCTGCTGCTGCTGCTGTTGCCAAGTCGTTTCAGTTGTGTCCGACTCTGTGCGACCCCATAGACGGCGGCCCACCAGGCTCCACCGTCCCTGGAATTCTCCAGGCAAGAACACTGGAGTGGGTTGCCATTTCCTTCTCTAATGCATGAAAATGAAAATGACTAAGGATGTGTAAACAGAGAATAGTAGGTTGATGACATTCAGGAATCTGGGTTATTTTTCAGGTGAAATAATGTGATTTTTTTTCTCAAAGTCTTTCCTATCTTTCAGAGAAAACTAATGATACATTTGCAGATGAACTAATCTGAGGTCTAGGATCTTCTCCAGGATACTCTGGGGTGGGGGTGGGGCTGGCAGAGGTGGAGATGCAGCTATACTGGCCACCAGCTGCTCCTGGCTGAAGCTGGGGGTGGGTACATGAGGATTCATTACACCATGCTCTCTATTTTTACAGTTTTGCAATTGTCCATTAAAAAAAGAAGTTAAAAGTGAACGAGGGAATTCTCTGGTGGTCCAGTGGTTGGGACTCTGCTTTCACTGCCAAGGTCCTGAGTTCAGTCCCTAGTCAGTGAACTAAGATTGCGCAAGGTGTGTGGCACAGCCCTCCATACCAAAAACAATGAGTGAAATTTCACAAAATGAAGCAACCACACTGACCCCCACCAAAGTTCTTCTGTGTGTGTTGTTATCATATTAGGATTAAAACAGCAACACATATGCCTGCATATTCACCCAGAAGACCAGCATAAATATTAAGCAACAATCAAAGACCTTTCAAAATTAAAAAGAAAGTTCAACTAACTTTAGAGTTTAAACCAACATCATCACTATTTGAAATTTGAGTATATGCAGCTCAAAAGTCATTATTTACCTTTTCCAAAGCACACGCCTTTATTACTTCTTTATATCGGTCTTCTTCATATTTCTTCCCAAATAAAATGTTACTCCTCACAGTTCCTGGAAATACCCAGGGCTGCTGAGAAACATATGCGATCCTCCCGTGGATGTTGACATTCCCCTGGATCAAGGGTAGCTCCCCCAGCAAAGTGCTTAACAGCGATGACTGAAACAGACAGCAACACACACATGTGAACAGGGTGCACTCAGGGTGGAACATGCCCTGCAGCATGGCCGACCCCACCCTGGTGCTTGATACACTATAGAACCCTTTCCTTCAGAACAGGATAAAGTACTGCTCTGGTGATTGTGATTAAAAAAAATAAAAATAATACCATTGGTCAAGGTAAACTAAAGGTTGGTAAGGAATATGAATAGTATAACAATCTATGCTGCCTGAGTTTCCCCCAAATGAAGCGTTCTACTCAGCAAAGACTGATTAAGAATATTTAACATCTTTCTCTAGCAGAGCAGCCCCACAGGATGTGTAGTTCATATATCTGATGTTTAATGCAGTTGGTCCTACATCCGGGATATCCTTTATTTGACAAATACTTGTTCTTAAAAAGCTATGTGTAGAGAATTCCCCAGTGGTCCAGTGGCTGAGACTCTGAGCTCCCAGTGCAGGGGCTGGGTTTCAATCCCTGGTCAGGGAACTAGACCTCACATGCTGCCACTAAGATCTCATGCAGTCAAATAAACAAATATTTTATTTTTTTAAAGTTATGTGTAAAGAATATATCCAAAGACAATGAACTAGAAGAACTCTGAAGTGGGTTGTGTGTGCAGATCATAAGTCCATCATAAAGGAAATCATCACCCTTTTGTGTACATATCTCACATTTAGGTTTCTGTATGTTGTTGTACAAAACACATGAGACTAAGTCAACATGCAAATTTCAAATTTTTTACAACACATAGATGTGCTGTGTCTGTGTCCACACATCAGAGTGCTCTTTGCCCTGGACTGAAGTGACCTTCTTGTGTATCTGTCTCACCCCAGAACCTGGTTGCTCTAGAGCAGAGGTGTTGAACCCTGGCTCACGTCTGTACCTTTAGCTCCAGCACGTGGCCGCACATTCACTACACGTGCACTGACAGGACCGAGTCAAGTCACGTGAGGAAATGCTCAGAGGTTCCTGGAAGAGCCTGCACCACCTCCAGACTTCCTGGAAGGGCCACTGTGACAAAAAGAAATCCCCATTGTCTCCATCCATTCTGAAGAGCTGTCACATAAATAATTTCCTTCACTGAGATGTTCAATGCTTGACAAGTTGTTCTCAACTGGGCAATGTAGAGCACCAAGAAGGAAAACACAGTGTGCATTTATTCAGATTTATTTGCCACGAAACCTTCTTGCAAAATGAATGTTCCATAGAACACACCTAGAGAAACACTGTTCTAGACACACTGAATTCAAACTGTCACACTCAGCTCTGGGCTCCACTCTGAGAATATAACAGGGGCTGTTATCAAGCTGCCAAAAGGCATCAGAACGTACCTTTCCTGCGCCCACAGGTCCGACCACAGCTAACAGTTCACCGGGCCTGACAGTAAAGGAAAGGCCTCGTAGGACTGGGGTTCCTGATTCCTGCAAATGAAAGTTACAAAAATGTACCCACTTCAATAAAGTAACACAAATTACTTCAAATAGTGGGGAAAATACCATAAGAGTCATTAAAATGCTAACATAGCCCACATTTTTCTCATTTTAAGACATTGTGTTTTATAGGTCTTTTCATCTACTCCTATCTTTTTGGGAGTTAAAATAGCTTTAGTTGCCTTAGGAAGGCTTCTTTTACCAGATTTCCATATAGACTCAGGTGTAGATACCCACAGAATTTAATGAGTTGAAATGACAAGGAACCTGCTTGAAATGCAAACCGAATGATGCACATAAGCTTATTAAAATAATGTACTTACTAGACTCTTCAGTGTGGGAGGTTTTTACCACTTACCCGTTCATAGCCACTCTAGTATCCTTGCCTGGAAATTCCATGGACAGAGGAGCCTGGCAGGCTACAGTCCATGGGTTTACAAAGAGTCTGATACACTGAGCACACATGCAATCTTTGGTTTTAACGATCTCATTAATTTCCACAAGGTAGCAGCAGAAGTACATAGCACGCCTGGCCCTATACTAATAAACACTGTAATTTGAAATCTCCGTTAATCTCTCCACTTTCATTTGATAAAGAAAAAAATCTCAGTGACACTCAGCAAGAAGGGGACACTTTACATAATAAAATCACTCTTAATAAATTAACTCTTGTAAATAACGGTCTAATTTCACGAGAGCTCTAATTTAACACCAATAACAACAAAAAAAATGGGGAATAAAAAAAATTATGACATTGTGAGTCAGAGGAATAAAGCCTCAGCTTTATACATGTTACATGCATTACTTGTCCTGGCTAAACAGGGACAATAAAGTACTTCTACTTTAAGGAAAACAAAAACATCAAAATGCATTTGACAGCACACAATCCAATATGAGGAAGAAGGACAATGTACTCATCATGCCAATCACAGGTCGTACTCCTGGGAGACTTGAGGGTATGTGTACTTCTTTACATATCCTAAGTGTTAAGAAAATTGTCAGTAACTGTTATGTTTAAAAACACATACACAGTGGTTACATGTAATTAAGTAAAATGCCCCAAAGACTAAAAGCATAGAGTCTGTATAAAAAAGTCTAGATGATCTTCCAAATGAAAGATTTCTCTGTAAACAGCTGAACTAATAATAAGACAATCATATACTGAAAAAAATAATTAATTTCCATCACCAAAAAAGAGTTTCAGATTTTAAGAATGAAAAATCAGTAAGAAGCTAGATTTTAATATATGAGAAGCATTTGTTTAAACTTCTCCACTCCTTTCTTCGTGTTGACACTTGGGGTTCCCATTTTACTACTTTTCACTCAGGTATAACAACAAAACAATGAGCCACATACAATCATCATCCCTGTCACTTCCCCTGAAGGTTTGTCAAGACAGGACAGAGTGGCCCTCCCTGTCCAGGCTTCAGGCAGGCACTGCTCAGCCATGACCAGAAGGGGGCAGCATTCGGCAGCTCAGAGGCACTGGGTCCCCTCCCCTCCTGGTTACCCAGGATCAGGGGACACTGACTCAACAAGGATCATCAGCTGAGCCCTGACTCTGTGCAGACACAGTTGGAAACCCCTGCTCCATGAGATTCGGAGGCTCACACAGGACTATTTATTTTAGAGCTTATTAAAGACTGAGACCAAGTCCCACCAGTTCATGAATGAGACCTGGGTCCCTGAGACCTCCCCCCACCTGCCCACCTGGCTGTCTAGGGGAGCAGGTTACAGAACTCATGTTTGTCTCCTGCCTCCCAACCGAGCAGGGGCTTCATTCAGACTCAGCTTCTCTCCAAAACCCCAATGTCTGTGCCCCTCTACCTCCCGAGGGCTCTCTCACCCGTGACCTAACCTACTTGGGATTCCCTCTCCTGTGGTGTGGGTTCAGTTTTCCTGACTAACCCACACTGACATAGGAGGGTTTGCACAGAGGACCATGGAACCAGGTTGCAGGCGGGCATTTCAATTCTTGATAAAGGGGCTGCACTGGGGGTGCAACACTTGAGAGCAAATTCTGTTTTTCCTGTTTGCCTGAACATTACAAATAAACCAAGTGATGGAACATTGCCAGTTCTCCATGTCAGCTTCCATATAGTGAAAGCTTTAAACAGAATCACTGGAGCTCATGATGACCACCTGCTGTCTCCTCCTATCACTGGCTGCCACCAAAGCAGCCAGAAGCTTCCAGAAGCTTAGGATGGGGGAGCCCCCACCCTACCTCACAGCCAAGATCCAGATCACAGCCTCACTCAATGTGTAGTAAGATGGTCTATGAACATCAGTACACAGAAAATGTACATTGATTCCCCAAAGGCTGTTGTCTTTACCAACTAGTTGTGTATTTGTTAGTTAACCCATATCATACTGCAGCATTTTGTATGTCCAATCCTGTAAATTCTAACATTACCAATGTATGTAATTTAAGTTCAAGATGTGCTAATACTTTAAAGCTCTGTTGAAAATGAGAGAGAGAACAACCTGTCAGATGTCTTAGGCTGATTTTACACTTAATCTCCAGTAGTTGCAAACCTTATTCCTGATTTTGAGAAGTTTTATAACATACATTCAGTATATGAGCAAGTCACATTTTACACTATGTGTAAAACCTCAAAATTTTCTTATAAGTCTATGTCACAGTTGTCTTATTAGCAGTCATGATCTTGAGATAGAGGACTTGTTACCTCATCCCAAAAAGCAGTTAAATCTTGCACGTCCACAATTGTTTCACCATCTGATGGCAGCAGCTGATGGTCATGCGGTGGTATGTCTTTGAGTAACAGAAAGTCCTACAGAGAAAGGAAAAACAGACAGTTGAGTTTGCAGTATGAAAGCACAAACAAACACAACTGCTTTTCCTGGAATTTAAAACAAACTTTATACAGCCTACATATTTTTCCAACTGTACTTAAAGTGATGGTTTACATCAGAACACACTAAATAATATATAGAATAAAATACACAGTACATCATATATATAGCAATATAGTGAATACAGGATACATAGAGTATTATATATATATATATATATACGTTTATATATATATATGTTTGTGTGTATATTATATATATGTGTGTGTGTGTGTGTGTGTATACATATGCATGCATGCATGCTAACTAACTTCAGTCGTGTCTGACTCTATATGACTATGGACAGCAGCCCACCAGGCTCCTCTGTCCACAGGATTCTCTAGGCAAGAATACTGGAGTGGGTTGCCGTTTCCTTCTCCAATATATACATATACATATATATAATATGAAGAATTTCAGGCCATGAGGAAAGTTGTAAGTTTCTCAATAAGTGGACTAGTTTCTCCTCAAGAAGAAAGTCTGGCTCCAAACTCCAGCACATTTAGAACCTGCAGCCAGAGGGAACTCTTGAGATGATAAAAAAAAATCTTAATGTTACCTGTAGGGACCTACGTAGTCCCCTGATCAGGCCTCTAGCACGCCATACTCTGCAGGCTCAGACATTCTTGGTTCCTCAAATGCATGGATCCCCTTCTCACACACTAAAAGACTTCATCACATCACCTTCCCCAGGAAAAAGAAACATCAGCCTCCCACCTCTCCCAGCCCTACACATGGAATTCTCCAGGTAATTTCCTCAGCCTTCCCAAGAAACATGACCTTCAAAATTACACCAGGGACTGTGCCAATGCACGTCATGGCACTTCAGACTTTTCCTTCCAAGGACTAATGACACACAAGTGTGCATTCACAGTGAGTTTCACTATTTGATTCTTTTTTAATCCCTCACTTGATAAAATATATATTCCAAGCAGGAAGGACTTCTCTGCATGTGCTTACCTGCCACTGTACATACTCATCTAGCCTGCTCCAGATTTCAGGTAGGTAGTACTCAGTTATTTTGTGAAGTGATGAAAGTGATGAAATAGGTGGATAAATTCCAAATTTACTCCCCCTCCCCCAAAAGGCTAGCATAAACTAAGACAGGGTTTTCCTCTCAAATTATTTTAATCTCAACAACATCCTGCTGTATTTTATATTTGCTAAAATACCTGGTGACTTTGTGTGTTTCTTTCTACAACTAGGGCAATGTTTCCCAGGTTTAGCTTACTTTCAGACGCATGGGGCCTTGACTAAAGACACAGATCCTTTGGGCCCCAGCAAAAACTAGTGAATCAGAAACACCAAGATGTGATCACTTAGTTTTAAAGGCATTCAGGGGATTCTGATGAGCTAGAGAAATGAAATTTTTTAAGCATCGTAGAAATTATATGGGCTGAATAAGAGTCTAATATGTAAAAGAAAAAAAATAGTTCAACAATTATTTCTACTCACCTTGGGACAATTTGTCATGCTAACACCAACCTTCTCACCATGCTTATTCTCAGCCATTGGTCCTGCCTTTACTGAAAACAACTATTGCCTAAAAGACCTCTAAATTCCTAGACCATCATCCTGCCAGAAAATGTATGAACATAAGAGAAAATCTAGATTTCTTGCTCAAATCAATGATGTTTAATCAGGACACAAAGCATCCTGACAAAGCCCCAGGAAAATTCAAAGTTCTCAGCAGGTTATAATTTTAATGTTACGATACACATCTACATGGAAAGGAATTTCAAGCCTCAGACACTGTTCAGGTGCATTTTGGTGGAAAAGAAATAAAAAATCCTACTCAAATATTTGAGCACAATACTCTGAAACACTCTGCAGATCCCTTTTCATGCATTTCTTTTAAGTGCATCACATAATTGATTTCAGAATCAGAATTACCACTGTCTCTGCTACAACCATGCTTAATAGTTAGGCATCTACAGGAGCCCAGACATGATAGAGCTGGAAGGTCGCTTCAGTTGCACATTTTCTGAGCATCGGCTATTTGTGAGGAGTACAAAAATGAACAAGGCACTGTAGCTGCCTGTTAGATAAGTCTGGAGTTCAGAGAAGGAAAGAAATCCACAAACACATGGCTTAGTCAGGACAGAGTCACATCCAGGAGCACAAAGAAAGAGATGTAGGGCCACAGATGATGAAAGCCACATTTAATGAGAGATTCCGCACACCAGAATATACTCACAAGGCAATGCAAGAAACCAGGCTTTGGGCAGAATCCTAGTTCTGTCACTTATGAGAGATGAAAAGATGGGTGAACTATTCCATCTGTTATAGGACCTGTTTCCTTACCTGTAAAATGGGGACACTTGTGCTTATTCCATTCAATTGCTGTCAGGATTCCATTTCTGTTGTCATTTTATTACAGTAAATTAAAGGTACATCATTGGTAACAACAGAAACAACACTGTATAGGAGATAATCCAAAATATATTCATCTCTCTTACCTGAAATTTTATGCCTATTGATCAGTAACTCCCTATTTCCCCTTTAGCTTTGACTCTGATCCTATGAATTTGATTATTTTTGATACCTCTTACAAGTGGAATCATATTTCAGGTGTCCTTATATGACTAGCTTATTTCACTCATCATGTCTTCAGGTTTCACCCATGTTGTTGCTATTGCAGTTTCCTTTTTCCTAACACCGAATAATATTCCACTTTATGTGCACACTAACTTTTTACTCATTCACCCACCAGTGAACATTCAGGTAGTTTCCACATCTTGGCTATTATGAGTAGCTTTGCAATGAACATGGGAGTACAGATATCTTTTGAAAAGATATCTCTTATTTCATTATATTTGGGAAAATACCCAGAACTGGAATTTTTGAATCATATGGTAGTTCTTTGGGCTTCCCAGACGGCTCTAGTGGTAAAGAACCTGTCTGCCAATGAAGGAGACAAAAGAGAAACTGGTTCTATAGGTCTTAATGATCTGGATAACTGCAATAGTGTGATCACTCACCTAGAGCCAAGCATCCTACAGTGTAAGGTCAAGTGAGCCTTGGAAGCTTTACTATGAACAAAGCTAGTAGAGTGATGGAATTCTAGCTGAGCCACTTCAAATCCTAAATGATGATGCTGTTAAAGTGCTGCACTCAATATGCCAGCAAATTTGGAAAACTCAGCAGTGGCCACAGAAGTGGAAAAGGTCAATTTTCATTCTGATCCCAAAGAAGTGAAAGTCGCTCAGTCATGTCTGACTCTTTGCAACTCCATGGACTATACAGTTCATGGAATTCTCTAGAATACAGTGGGTAGCCTTTCCCTTCTCCAGGGGATCTTTCCAACCAAGGGATCAAACCCAGGTCTCCTGTACCACAGGCAGATTCTTTACTAGCTGAGTCACCAGGGAAGCCTAATCCCAAAGAAAGGTAAGGTCAAAGAATGTTCAAACTACTGCACAATTGTGCTCATTCCACATTCTAGCAAAGCAATGTTCAAAATCCTTCAAGCTTCAGCAGTATGTGAACTGAGAACTTCCAGATGTACAAACTGGATTTAGAAAAGGTAGAGAAACCAGAGGTAAATTGCCAATATCTGTTGAATCATAGAAAGAGCAAGAGAATTCCAGAAAAACATAGACTTCTGCTTCACTGACTATTCTAAAGCCTTTGACTGTGTGAATCACAACAAACTGAAAAATTCTTAAAGAGATGGGAATACCAGACCACCTTAACTGCTTCCTGAAAAACCTATATGCAGGTCAGGAGGCAACAGTTAAAACCAGACATGGAACAATGAACTGGTTCAAAATTTGGAAAGGAGTACGTCAAAGCCATATATTGCCACCTTGTTTATTTAAATTATATGCAGAGTACATTATGTGAAATGCTGGGTTGGATGAAGCACAACCTGGAATCAAGATTGCCAGGAGAAATATCAATAACCTCAGATAGGCAGATGACAGTGAAGAGGAACTAAAGAGCCTCTTGATGAAAGTGAAAGAGGAGAGTGAAAAAGTTGGCTTAAAACTCAACATTCAAAAAACTAAGATCATACCATCCAGTCCCATCACTTAATGGCAAATAGATGGGGAAACTGGAAGCAGTGAGAGACTTTACCTTTTGGGCTCCAAAATCACTGCAGATATGAAATTAAAAGACACTTGCTCCTTGGAAGAAAAGCTATGACCAACCTAAACAGCTCATTAAAAAGCAGAGGCATCACTTTGCTGACAAAGGTCCACATAGTCAAAGTTATGGTTTTTCCAGTAGTCACGTACGGATGAGGGTTGGACCATAAAGATGACTGAGCACCGAAGAACTGATGCTTTTGAACTGTGGTGCTGGAGAAGACTCTTGAAAGTGCCTTGGACAGCAAAGAGATCAAACCAGTCAATCCTAAAGGAAATCTACCCTGAATATTCATTGGAAGGATTGATGCTGAAGCTGAAGCTCTAATACTTTGGCCACCTGATACAAAGAGCTGACTCACTGAAAAAGACCCTGATGCTGGGAAAGATTGAGGGCAGGAGGAGAAGGAGGCAACAGAGGGTGAGATGGTTGGATGGCACCACCGACTCAGTGGACATAAATTTGAGCCTACTCTGGGAGAATGATAAACTCAGGCGACCAGAACTGAACCCACATGATTGATCTGTTTTATGGGTAATAGCTGTTTATAGTAGAGAAAGCTAATGATAAAAAAAAAATTGGCTTTGATGACAAGACCTAAAAATAAAATATAATCACAACCAGAGTGATCTAACTTCACTAAAGAGCTACTAACAGCCCATCCATCACTGTAAGAAAGTAAGAACAAAACAAATTAGATTTTTTGTAAAGCCCAGACACTCAAACTCATGCCAACATCAGGTCACAGTGCCAATTTATCCTCATTTTAGACCTACTCATAAAGACATGAATAATTGAGCACCTACTGTGTGCCAAGTCTTTGTCTTGATGATGTAAATTATTTGCCCTTGGAAATTTAAAGACTCTTAGGAAAAGGAGACAGTGGGTATGATAAGAATCACAAATTTGAAAGGAAGAGGGCAGCTAGAGATAGGATTAAGCAGAAAGTGAAAAGGGAACAGGATGAAAAGGCAGATCCAAAAGCCAAGCTCAGTAATCAAGAAAAGAAGCATCTATGGAGGAAAGAACACATTTTTAAACACAGAGAACTGAGTGAATCTGTGGCTACTCTTCTTGCCCAGGGAACAAGGATCTCTCAGCAATCTCCTCCCCTCCCGGATCAGAGAAGAATCCTGTTCACACCCGGAATGTGCAGTCACTACCTCATTGTTCCAGTCAGAGTAGGAGATGCAATCTGTTTGCTGCTCCTGCTTTTAGACATTTTAATCACCCTTCAGTCATCACTGCACATCAAGAGCCTGTGCCACTGCTACTGCTGCCCATAAACCAGCAAGGATCTTATTATATTTGTAATGTGCTCTATATAAGAAGAGAGGGGACTATGTATGACATTTTGGAAAGATTGCCAGCTTTGGCACTGAGAGTTAAATGTCACCAAACTGGCACACAGTGACACCAAATAAGATATTGTGCATAAAGTTCACCTACAACTAAAAAAAAAAATTGCTTTTCATCAAACCTTGATTCTTTTGATGCTGACAACGGTCTCTGACACCTTCTCGATGGCCATGGGGAAGTAGAGGGTGCCTGTAAACCTCACAGTCTCAAACAGCATCACCACCAGAAACACTTGGCTGGCTGTGATCCGGTTGTCAAGGACAATAGCGATGATGAAGGTGATAAAAATCATGATTTTGCTGGCAGCAAAAAAAATTGCCAAATTCATTCCTCTAAGGTAGGAACTTTTCAGAATCTTGGAAATTTCATTCCTGGAAAAGAGTAGGAAATAGGTTTTAAAAGGAACACCAACATCAACCCATGGATTCAGTGCCCTGTGTGAGTGGCCCCTTTCTAGGCAGTGGACACAGATTCAGATAAACCAGCCCTTACGTCAGGGAGACACTACACAGGGCACACCTGGGGGTCTGCCCTGACACCAGGACCACACACTGCATCACCACTTCACTCTTCCAACTAAAAGTGTCCTTTAATGTCACACTTTTAAACATTTTGGGTCAATCAGATTGGATTTGAATATTCAGTCAACAAGCATTTGTAATCACAAGTCGTGTGCCAGGTACCTTGAGAAGGTCTAAGACAAATCCCGTTCCCCCAGGAGCCCCTGAACTTGTTGGGGGAGAGAATATGCAATTCCCAAATTGTGAGACACAAAGACATTAGACACAGGCAGCCAGCACAGCCCCCGAGGGAGTACAGAGCAGAGACGTGTAACCCAGGGCAGTGGAGTCAGGGCAAGTCACAGACACATGGAACCCGAGATGAGCTGGAGTCAGTCAGGGCTGGTGGAGGCCAGAGAAGATGGGAGATGGGAGTATATCCCCAGAAGAGGGAGGGGCCCTACAAAGGTGCACAGTGAGAGGTGACAGGGAGCAGCCAGAGAATTCCCAGCACCCTGGGCTCGAGTACGAACACTCATCAGATATTTAACTGAAAGACGAAAAAAATTCTATAGACGTAAAGCGAGTAAAAACCCAGTATTTTCAAGGAATACTACTCAACAATAAAAGGAACCAGCTACTTATAGATGAAACAACTTGGATGAGTCTCTATGAAATTCTTCTTAGTGAATAAGATCAATCAAAAATGGTAACATTCTGTATGGTACTATTTAGATAACATTCTTTAAAAATGACAAAATTATAGAAATAGAGACCAGACTAGTGATTGACAGGGGTTAAGGATGTGGTAGGGACAGAAGGGAAGTAGGTGTGCTATAGAAGGGCAACATGTGTAATCCTGGTCCTGATGAAAATATTTTGTATCTTCCCTGTATAGTTGTGTTAACATCCTGTTGCATTATTGCACTATAGTGTTTCTAGAAATTACCACTGAGGGAAACTAAGCAGTGGATACATAGGCGGTCCCTGTACTATAAGCAACTGCATATGAATCTATGATTATCTAAAAATAAAAACAATTACAATTTTTAAAAACCCAATATTTCCATGGCTGTTTGGAATGAAAACTACTGATTCATAAAGTTGGGCCTGATCCAGTTATACCCAACCTTTATAATCTCCCCTTTGTACTACATTAACATAAATTACAGCTTTAGTTTAAATATCATCTCAAATACTAAAATTTTACAATTATTGCTTATAAGAAATATTATGAATTTCATTTCTGTATAAGTAAGAAGCATATATATTATATATATATTATATATATATATATTATATATATATATATATATTTTTCCCCTTTAAGAACATAGTAAATGAGAAAATTCCCTGGTGGTTAGGACTTCACACTTTCATTGCCTAGGGCCTGAGTTCAATCCCTGGAACTAAGATTCCACAAGGCATCTGGTGTGGCTATATATATATATATATATATATAGTAAAAGGGAGAGCAGGTTAAAATTATGTTCCCCCTATTCTACTTAACCCCACTGCCACATATGGGAGTGGGGTATAGTTAAGTTTACATTAATGTGAAAACTTGGTAAGACTCCTAAATTCATTCAGTAAAAATAGGAAATAAAAAAGCACAAAATGTGACTTGATATAAATAAAAACTTACCTTCTCAATCTGGTAATAAGGTCTATAAATGACTTTTCCCAAGCATACGTTTTTATTGTTCTGATGCCAGTTATGACTTCACTCATGGTCCTGATCCTGTCGTCTGTGAGAGCTGCGGTCTTACTCCTGAGGGGACAGACGTGAGAGATGAGCCTTAGTGACCACGGCCCAACTTTCTGTAGCAGCAGCAGGGGGCACAAGCAGAGAACAGGGATCCAATGATTCCCTACAGCTCTTTTGAGCTGAAAACACAGACAAATGTACAATTGGAGAAATGAAAAAAAAAAAAAAGAGAGAGATTTCAATTAGAAATTCAAACATTCAGCCAAATTCAACACATAACTTGGAAAACTTGTAGTAATGTATAATAAAGTCCTGAAATGAAACAGATACAGACTGTCTGCTCAAGGAGGTCACAACTGGGCAAGGAAGGCAGAAAAGACCTTGACTCTAACAGGAAGACAATGTCTGTGCTGTAATAAAATAGGATTATAGTGCTGGGGGCAAATAAGATGGAACTGTTAATTCCACTGGGAAAGGAGAGCAAGAAAAGCTTCAGAGACCCGGTAGCATTAGAATAGGGCTTCAGAGGATAAGGAACATCTCTCCACAGCAAAGAGAGCAAAGGAAATTCCAAGCATAGAAAAATACACATACAGGCACCAACAAACAACCCTCAATGTACTTCAAACAACACATCTCCATCACCTGACTACCTAAACAATGACCCACCTCCAGCTGTCTGTGACCTGCTTCAGGTGTAACTCATTACCATTAGGCTCTTCATCACCAGCCACTTATCTATTACATATACTGCTGGGACTACAGGGCTTTATAAAGACATAATTAAGACATAATTGCCCTTGGGACACTATTAAAAACACTGAATTATAAACAAGACAAAAACATACATACCTGAAAGTGGCTCTAACACAAACATAACAAAAATATATGTAGGTAGAAAAGGTCCTGTATATTATATAAAAGTATTAGTAACTCTAATAATGTTCAAATAACTTTGACATCAGTGAATTCTGCTTAAAGACACTATTTATTCAGTTACAATGTTGGGAAAAGTTGGCAAATGTCACTTTTCCCCTTAAAGGTCAGCCTTCAGCTTGAGGCTGGAGCTTCTCCTGGCTAAGTCTGAAGCATCTACAACACATGCAATGAAGAGACAAAAGAAGGCATTTTTTATTGTTGTTTTTGAATGAAAGCATCAAGCAGACTGTGGATGCTACCAGTTACACATCATCAATTTTTGAAATCAGTGTTTCTCTTACCGGAGTGATGAAAACAATTTCCCAAAGCAGCTTTGCACCAGCAGAAGGATAATGAGAACTGCCATCCCAACAAGACATGATATTCCTATTTCCATACAGAGCAGGCCTGTGACTGCAATAGCCTGTAGCGGCCCCACCCACAGGTAGTGCAAAAACATCATTACCTTAAAAGAGAAAGGCAAAGCCTTCTTAGGATGGTATGAAAACAAAACCAGTAAGGACCCATTATAGAAATAATATGCTTGGAAAGAATAGACAGGAACCTAAATGGGAATGATCTCAGTGGGTTTTAAATCTGCTGAAGCAGAAACTCAAGCATCTACCCCAGATGACACTGCTCTGGGGTAGCACAGGGCTGGCTTCAGGGACATCCAGGGAGAACCAGACCAGCAGCCTTGAAGGAAAATGTTGATTTTGTTGACACCACATATGAGCTCAGGGCTTCCCCAAACTCTCTGTCCCAAAATTCATCCCCCATCTCTCCCTAGCATCCCAGGAAAGCCTCTTTTATGGTACCTACCACATTCTCCAATAACTACTTGTGTATTTATCTTCCTGACAGGCTGTAGCTTCTCCAGAAAAGAAATAGTATTCATCCCTGACAGTGGGTAGAGGGATCTTACTTCATGTTTGATGAATGAATAATTTAAAGATAAGTGTCTAGTGCAATACAGATCTGAGCAACAGCTGCAACACCCTGGGTTACATGATCTACTCATAAGCTATATGGATAAAAAGAGTGTGGTGAGATAGCAGAGAAGAGGTTGTGTCTGGCTGGGGACCACCCACTTGGCATTATTCCTCGTAGGCTCCCTATGCAGAAGGCACTGAACAGGGTGGGGGGTGGGGAGTGGGAAACAATCCCTGACCACAGGCTTTCATCATCCAGAGGAGGAGGAAGACAGGTCAGGTTGCAACACCAACACCATGTGCCCAGAAGGTCCATGCCAGGAGGACCCCTAGGGACACAAATTAAGCTGGGGAAGAACACTGCTGCCTATTACTGAAGTATGCTGTAGATTATCTCAGAAAAAAAAATTTTTTTTTCTCATCTATGGACAACACACATTATTACATCTAAGTTGCACACAGAGGAAATGAGAGTTGGATAAAGAGAACACTTGTTTTAGATACTCAACAAATCCTGTTGAAGAGCAAACACAGGTATCTGGCATCAACCATAAGCCAAACCCAGTGAGAAGGACTGAAAGTGGAAGAGGATCCCTCAGGGGCAGCTTACCTGATCGAATCTTTTCACATCGTTGGACAGCAGGTTGACTATCTGACCTGTGGTGGTCTTCCTCATGGCCAAGTTACTCAGGCGAAGTGCCTGAAATGAGAAAAAGATACTGAGCTGGACTCCTGTGGTGATAACAAGTCACTTTTCAGTTCAGTTCAGTCGAGCAGTCGTGTCCGACTCTTCGTGACCCCATGAATTACAGCATACCAGGCCTCCCTGTCCCTCACTAACTCCCGGAGTCTACTCAAACTCATGCCCATCGAGTCAGTGATGCCATCCGGCCATCTCATCCTCTGTCGGCCCTTTCTCATCCTGCCCCCAATCCCTCCCAGCATCAGGGTCTTTTCCAATGAGTCAACTCTTTGCATGAGGTGGCCAAAGTATTGGACATTCAGCTTCAGCATCAGTCCATCCAATGAAAACCCAGTCCTGATCTCCTTTAGGATGGACTGGTTGGATCTCCCTGCAGTCCTAGGGACTCTCAAGAGTCTTCTCCAACACCACACTTCAAAAGCATCAATTTTTCATCACTTAGCTTTCCTCACAGTCCAACTGTCACATCCATACATGACCACTGGAAAAACCACAGCCTTGACTAGACGGACCTTTGTTGGCAAAGTAATGTCTCTGCTGTTTAATATGCTGTCTAGCTTGGTCATAATTTTCCTTCCAACGAGTAAGCGTCTTTTAATTTCATGGCTGCAATCACCATCTGCAGTGATTTTGGAGCCCCCCAAAAATAAAGTCTGACATTGTTTCCATTGTCTTCCCCTCTATTTCCCATGAAGTGACGGGACCAGATGCCATGATCATCTTTTTTCTGATGTTAATCTTTAAGCCAACTTTTTTACTCTCCTCTTTCACTATCATCAAGAGGCTTTTTAGTTCCTCTTCACTTTCTGCCATAAGGATGGTGTCGTCTGCATATATGAGGTTATTGATAATTCTCCCAGCAATTTTGATTCCAGCTTGTGCTTCTTCCAGCCCAGAGTTCTCATGATGTACTCTGCATATAAGTTAAATAAGCAGGGTGACAATATACAGCCTTGACGTACTCCTTTCCATATTTGGAACCAGTCTGTTGTTCCATGTCCAGTTCTAACTGTTGCTTCCTGACCTGCACACAGGTTTCTCAAGAGCCAGGTCAGATGGTCTGGTAATCCCATCTATTTCAGAATTTTCCACAGTTTATTGTGATCCACACAGTCAAAGGCTTTGGCATAGCCAATAAAGCAGAAGTAGATGTTTTTCTGGAACTCTCTTGCTTTTTTGATGATCCAGAAGATGTTGGCAATTTGAGCTCTGGTTCCTCTGCCTTTTCTGAAACCAACTTGAACATCTGGAAGTTCACGGTTCATGTATTGCTGAAGTCTGGCTTGGAGAATTTTGAGCATTACTTTACTAGCGTGTGAGATGAGTGCAATTGTGTGGTAGTTTGAGCATTCTTTGGCATTGCCTTTCTTTGGGATTGGAATGAAAACTGCCCTTTTCCAGTCCTGTGGATCCTACTGAGTTTTCCAAATTTGCTGACATATTGAGTGCAGCACTTTCACAGTGTCATCTTTCAGGATTTGGAATAGCTCAACTGGAATTCCATCACCTTCACTAGCTTTGTTCATAGTGATGCTTTCTCAGGCCCACTTGACTTCACATTCCAGGATGTCTTGCTTTAGGTGGGTGATCACACCATCCTGATTATCTGGGTCATGACGATCTTTTTTGTTCAGTTCTTCTGTGTATTCTTGCCACCTCTTCTTAATATCTTCTGCTTCTGTTAGGTCCATACCATTTATGTTCTTTATTGAGCCCATCTTTGCATGAAATGTTCCCTTGGTATCTCTAATTATCTTGAAGTGATCTCTAGTCTTTCCCATTCTGTTGTTTTCCTCTATTTCTTTGCATTGATCACTGAGGAAGGCTTTTTTATTTCTCCTTGCTATTCTTTGGAACTCTGCATTCAGATGGGAATACCTTTCCTTTTCTCCTTTGCTTTCTGCTTCTCTTCTTTTCACAGCTATTTGTAAGCGCAGCCGCAACAGACCGCCCAGAAGCTTGGACGAGAGGAGCGAGCTACCCCACAGCCCAAGGTCAGGGGAGGCGGCCAAGAGGAGCAACCCCACATCCAAGGAGCAGCTGCTGCAGGAGCGCCGAGAGGAGCTACTCCACGTTCAAGGTCAGGAGGGGTGGCCCTGAGGAGATACCCCTCATTCAAAGTAAGGAGCAGCGGCTGCACTTTGCTGGAGCAGCCGTGAAGAGATACCCCACATCCAAGGTAAGAGAAACCCAGGTAAGATGGTAGGTGTTGCCAGAGGGCACCAGAAGGCAACACTGAAACCATAATCACAGAAAACTAGCCAATCTGATCACATGGGCCACAGCCTTGTCTAACTCAATGAAACTAAACCATGCTGTGTGGGGCCACCCAAGATGGTCGGGTCATGGTGGAGAGGTCTGACAGAATGTGGTCCAGTGGAGAAGGGAATGGCAAACCACTTTAGTATTCTTGCCTTGAAAACCCCATGAACAGTATGAAAAGGCAAAAAGATATGACACTGAAAGATGAACTCCCCAGGTTGGTAGGTGCCAAACATGCTACTGGAGATCAGTGGAGAAATAACTCCAGAAAGAATGAAGGGATGGAGCCAAAGCAAAAACAATACCCAGTTGTGGATGGGACTGGTGATAGAAGCAAGATCTGATGCTATAAAGAACAATATTGCATAGGAACCTGGAATGTTAGGTCCATGAATCAAGGCAAATTGGAAGTGGTCAAACAGGAGATGGCAAGAGTGAATGTCGACCTTCTAGGAATCAGGAAACTAAGATGAACTGGAATGGGTGAATTTAACTCAGATGACCGTTATATCTACTACTGTGGGCAAGAATCCCTTAGAAGAAATGGCGTAGCCATCATGGTCAACAAAAGAGTCCAAAATGCAGTACTTGGATGCAATCTCAAAAATGACAAAAAGATCTCTGTTCATTTCCAAGGCAAATCTCAATATCACGGTAATCCAAGTCTATGCCCTAACCAGTAATGCTGAAGAAACTGAAGTTGAACGGTTCTATGAAGACCTAAAAGACCTTTTAGAACACCCCCAAAGGATGTCTTTTTCATTACAGAGGACTGGAATGCAAAGGCAGGAAGTCAGGAAACACCTGGTGTAACAGGCAAATTTGGCCTTGGAGTACAGAATGACACAGGGCAAAGGCTAAGAGAGTTTTGCCAAGAGAACATACTGGTCATAGCAAACACACTCTTCCAACAACAGAAGAGAAGACTCTACACATGGACATCACCAGATGGTCAACACTGAAATCAGACTGATTATATTCTTTGCAGCCAAAGATGGAGAAGCTCTGTGCAGTCAGCAAAAACAAGACTGGGAGCTGACTGTGGCTCAGAGCATGAACTCCTTATTGCCAAATTCAGACTTAAATTGAAGAAAGTAGGGAAAACCATTAGACCATTCAGGTATGACCTAAATCAAATCCCTTATGATTATACAGTGGAAGTGAGAAATATATTTAAGGGACTAGATCTGATAGACAGAGTGCCTGATGAACTATGGACAGAGGTTTGTGACATTGTACAGGAGACAGGGATTAAGACCATCTTCATGGAAAAGAAATGCCAAAGAAAAAAAAAGAATAAAATACTTAGGGATAAATTTACCTAAGGAAACAAAAGATGTATATATAGAAAAATATAACACACCAATGAAAGAAATCAAAGAGGACACAAATAGATGGAGAAATACACCATGTTCATGAATTGGAAGAATCAGTATATTGAAAATGAGTATATTACCCAAAGCAATCTACAGATTCAATGTAATCCCTATCAAGCTACCAATGGTATTTTTCACAGAACTAGAACAAATAATTTCACAATTTGTATGGAAACACAAAAAAAACCTCAAATAGACAAAGCAATAATGAGAAAGAAGAATGGAACTGGAGGAATCAACCTTTCTGACTTCAGACTATACTACAAAGCTACAGTCATCAAGACAGTATGGTACTGGCACAGGAAACAGAAATATATAGCAATGGAACAACATAGAAAGCCTAGAGATAAATCCACACATCTACAGACACCTTATCTTTGACAAAGGATGCAAAATATACAGTAGAGAAAAGACAATCTTTTTAACAAGTAGTGCTGGGAAAACTGGTCAACCATGTGTAAAATAACAAAACTAGAACACTATCTAACACCATACACCAAAATAAACTCTAAATGGATTAAAGATCTAAATGTAAGGTCAGAAACTATAAAACTCTTAAAAGAACAATTATGCAAAACACTCTGACATAAATCACAGCAAGATCCTCTATGAACCACCTTGCAGAATACCGAAAATAAATAAATGGAACCTAATTAAACTTAAGCTTTTGCACAATGAAGGAAACTATAAGCAAGGTGAAAAGGCAGCCATCCAAATGAGAGAAAATAATAGCATATGAAACAACTGACAAAGAATCAATCTCCAAAATATACAATCAGCTCATGCAGCTCAATACCAGAAAAAATGAACAACTCAATCAAAAAGTGGGTCAAAGAACTAAACAGGGATTTCTCCAAAGAAGACATACAGATGTCTAATAAACATATGAAAAGGAGACATGCTCAACATCATTCATTATTAGAGAAATACAAATCAAAACCACAGTGAGATGTACAGATTCCTTAAAAAATTGGAAATAGAATGGTCATACAACCCAGCAATCCCACTGCTGGGCATACACACCGAGGAAACCAGAATTGCAAGAGTGCCCAGTGTTTACTGCAGCATTGTTTACAATAGCTAGGACATGGAAACAACCTAGATGTCCATCGGCAGATGAATGGATAAGAAAGCCGTGGTACATATGCACAATGGGATATTATTCAGCTATAAAAAGGAATGCATTTGAGTCAGTTCTAATGAAGTGGATGAAATTTGAGCCTATTATACAGTGAAGTAAGTTGGAAAGAGAAACGCCACTACAACATATTAACACATATATGTGGAATTTAGAAAGATGGTAATGATTATCCTATATGCAAGACAGCAAAAGGGACACAGATGTAAAAAGCAGACTTT